AAGTATAATCATGTTTTAATTCTAAGTTAATATAATTGAATTTATTTATGTTACGATCCTGTATTTGAAAGGCAATATTTTTTTTTTTTTATGTTAGAGCATTCTATAATTATTTTAATTTTGTATAAAATACTATATAATGCTCAAAGTATTTTATATTTATGTTAAATTTTTTGAATATATATAAATATATATCTATATTCAATGTATATAATATATGGATAATTATTAGATAATTCTATGACATAAAAATTATTTGTTTTTTCTTACATAAATTATATAGCTTAAAAAAGAAAAATTTTATATTTTAAAACGTTCTTTGTTTTTTTTTTTTTTCAATTTTCTAAAAGTGTTATATTGTTTATTTTTAAATTTTTTGCTTTTTTTCACAAATTTTGGCATTAAAAATAATAATATAAATAATAATAATAATATAATAATAATATAATAATAATATTAAAAATAATAATAATAATAATAATAATAATAATAATAATGATAATAATGAATAAATTATAACCGATCGATAGTAAAATCGTATTCTAAAAATTATATTAATATTAGTATGATCTTTGGAAATGAAAGATAGTCATAGATCAAGGGCAGGGATTTTTTTTTAAATAAAAAAGGCCATATTTATTTTCTAAAATACTGGAAAGGCTGCATTGATCTTTCGAACCATTACTTACGAAGTAAAACATACTAATTTACAATATTCTTATAATAATACATTATCCATCTGCATTTTATATCAACATAAAAAATGCCCCATCTCTGTCATAGATTGTGCGTGTGAGTGCGTGAGTGTGTATGTATGTATGTGTACGGAAAGTTATGTATTTAATTATATTATTTAGATTTTTTAAATCTAATCTAGAAGAAGAAGCTAAAAATTAAAATAATGCGATAAACTATAGTCAGTAAATTTTGTTCCAAATACGTATATACGATACTAATGCTCAGAGATTATTATTATTAATAATATTATTTAAGTAATTAATTAAAGGTCGTCGCGATATATATGTAATTTTTTTCTTATATTATATTAATAGGTATGCGACACACATGATCATCATGTTCATTACATGTTCACGTGTGTATACGGAAGTGTGCACGCATTTATGCGCTGCATAAATATATATATGTATATACATACATACAATCATTAAGCATGAAACGGTCGATCACTCCGATTACTTTCAATTTTAAATCGTACATTTCGTACTTAATGATCTAATATATGTATATATGTATGTGTGTATATATGTTACCGTGAAAAACCGAAATTGGAGAATGTCAAGATCCACATTATTACTTGGTGTATGTCCGAAATATTAATGTTTAAGAATAAACCCAAATATTTGGTCTTTCACCGACGTATTAGGTATGTGTTGACCATGTGAATCTTGACATTCTTCAATTTCGATCTTTCATGATAGTATATACATATGTATGTGAATACAATCTAATCATAAATCGAAACGAATAGTGTACAATAAAATTTTTTGTGAAGTTGTTAAATAACACTAGAAGAGACATTATATATATATATATATATATAGGTAGGACTTGTTGATAATCGTACTATAATATAATTATAATAAAATAACAAAATCTATATATAATAAAACATGCATGGAATTAAGAAACTATAAGATATACGAATGTATAGAAAAAAAAATATTTAGTTATAGAAAAAAAGCTAAAAGATATTGTCAAGTATAATAAAACGTGTTAATAAAAAACACTATTATAAATCATAATAATAAGGAATAATCATAATTTTAACGGAAGATTACGTAATTGTGTAAAAAATAAAAAATAACACATGCATATTAGAAATTTTTAGAAAGTCAATTTTATATACCGATAATATAATGCGCGTGACAGAGAATGTAAATGGAAAAATGAAAAGAAAAAAAAAAAGGAGTAACAGAATAAGAATAATGAGAAAAAGATCGATATTCGAAAACATAGGGTTATCATCCTGTTTTTCTTGGTGCATTTTATATATGGAAACGAATAATAAATAGTTGTAATTATACCTTGAAGATAGTGATTATTTCCGTACTACTACTACTACTACTACTACTACTATTTTTACTACTAATACTATTACTGCTACTATTGCTATTATTACTAAATACATACGTAATTTAATAAGTGAGCTTTTATATATATACAGTAATCCCCCCTATAACGCGGTACTCTTATAACGCGTTTTCATATTACGCGATTTCATGTCCCCCATATAACGCGGGGATTTCCCACTTTTCACGAAAAAAGTTAAACGTGAATCATTTGTACATAACGCGTTATACGAGGTCAACGTCGTTTTACGAGAATACTCGTACAACGCGTTTTCCTATAACGAGGAACCAATGTACCGTGTTATAGGGGGGTCTACTGTATATATATATCAAAATTTTTATATTACCAAAAAAAAAGTGAATTATTTTGCAGATAATATTTGTATATAAAGCTTTCTATTTCGTGCTTTTCGTATACACAAATAGAACTATTTTTCGGTTAAAATAAATCCGGTATATAAAAAGTATAATATAATAGCATTTTATATATATATTAAACGTATCAACAACGTTTACGCGTAACACTCATTTTAATTGTTTTATTTTGAACTACGTGTATATATATATATATATATTTAATTAATCCGTTCTGTCATGTATAAAATAATTATATTACAGTAGCATTGTCTTTGGTAGCAATCAATATTGCATAATGATTAGATAAATACTAAGTTTGATCGGTAAAACAGAGTCGAGTGCTTATAGCTGGCATTAAAATAGAACATTTATTTCGAATTATTTTTATGTAGGTGAATAAGACATTTTCGAGAAATCATTTTTAATTAATTTATTTAATTTCTTTTTTAATTAATTATATGTTTTTAAATAGCCATGAAAAGTAGCCGACTAAAACGCAATGAAGTATTTCAATTGAGCGTGTATATATGCGACTAGTTACGTTCCTTTCACGTAAATTTTTTTTTATTTTTTGTAACCGTACAAACAGTCAAAAAAAAATAGATTCAATATGATTAAATTAATTATAAATCATTAATTTTAACAATTAGTAATCTGCCATAAAAAAAAAGGAAAGAAATTTTATATAAAATTTATGAAACGCATTAGAAGAATTCTACATACGAACGATGAAGCGTGTCATAACGTCGATCATAATCGATGACATAACTCGTGTTGTCGTTTTCGTAATCGAGGTGCAATCAACGGAAGAAGGTTTTCTCAAAAAAGAAAAGAAAAGAAAATTTAACGAAAATCAATGATTAATTATTAAGAGATCGTAATAAAATTTGAAGAAAATAAAAGTGGGTGAAAGAAAAAAAATAGGAAAGTGCGTATACGACCTCGTTTAGTAATAGTAATCATTGGAATTTACGAAAAGAACCAAAAGTGAAAAGGAGGAAGAGGTGGGAAGAGAGAGAGAGAGATAGAGGTGAGGAGAATGTTGCACGATCGGTGCAACGAAATAATAAAGAGAGAGGCGAATACGAAGGAATGATCGTGGTAGCGACCATGGTGGCTGCAATGTGACCGGTGTACCACGTGACCGTTTGGACCAATCGGCTCTTAGCAAGAACTGGCGGTCACGTTGCGTTCGGCGTGGCAAAAGCTTTCCCCTTTCCTCTGCACGCTGTTTCCCTTATCCTGCTTGCAAGCAGTAAGTCCTAGGCAAAGCATAAGCATCATTCTCTACGAATATCACGGTACACTTTTACACTTTTTTCCTACATTTTTCTATTTTCTTTTATCTCTTACCTTTAAGATCATGTTCGATATAATTTTCGAATGCAACAATAGAAATCATACGAAAAGTTTTAAGAAAATTATTTCTAAGTGTCACATTGAAATTCTCGTTATTTATATTTATAGTGTCACATTTGTTGTACAGTGGTAATGTTAATATTGCGAAGAAATTGTTACCTTATCGGAAATCATATTGGAAACAATAACAGGATTACGATTTTTCATACGTGACGACGTAAGATTTATGTTTTACTCTTTGTCATATGATACGTGAATGACATAAAGAAAAGATCGTTAAAATTTCGCGCCTCTTTCGGTAAGTTTATTTTTATTTGTTTTAGTATTTCCTTTTATACTTTATTTTTATTTAATCCTATTGCGTTAACGAGCTTGAAAAATTAATTATTATCTTGAAATGTCTACAAAATAGATTTACGATATATGCGTACTTACTGTGTTTGTGACATATATACATACATGTATACATATATACACGGATATTGCATTTTGTTTTGTCGAGATAAATGCGCGCGATGATTCGACGTACGAAACGCGCTGTTTTACTCGGTCGGTAATGAAGTTTATTCTCGATTATTACAGAATATGTTATCTTATTGACTTTTTTCCGCAAAATTGCAAAGAGAATAAAAACAATATTTTCTGTCTCTTTTATTAAATTAATAAAGGAAAATTAATAATTTTCTTTTATTAAATATACTCGACGTCCTTGATTGAACAATTTTTATTCGAAGTATTACGATCTGTCATATGCTTCAACAAGTATATGTAATTTAAATTTAAATATTTTGTTTTTTGTTCTACGTCTAATTGATATTCTCGTTAATTCTATTATTATTCCTTTATTAAATTCGTATAAAGCACATAAATATGATATCATGAATGTGCTTAATCTGCTAATTAATATTACATAGTATATACATAAGTATATTTGATATAGTATATTACATAGTATATTACATAGTATATTACATAAGTATATTTGAAATAAATATTTCTAATACATTTTATTTTTTTTTTATTTATCGTTCAAAGACATTGTTAATTATTTAAATAAATAAATACATTTTCACGAATATTCATTTGGTAATTAGTTCTGTTTTATCAGCAGAAAATCAGTGATCCATTGAGTATCGACCTAGGTTGCATAATAACTGATTAAAAAAAAAAAAACAATTATGTCATCGGGTCAGCGTGTTATTCTTAAGCGAAATGAAACGACGTAATGCCGTTCGTTTTCCGCGTTACCAGTAATTAAAAGTTAAAACCTTTAACCACATCGCGTCGATTTAACTCGCAAAAGTCGGAACTGTTTGTTTTTTATTTACCTTCCTATTTCCATTAAGTTAAGGTAAAGAGAAGGCTAGGAAAAAGAAAGAATCTTTCGATATTTCCAGTATTATTATTATGATCGATCACACGAAAGAGTATTTATTATTATTTTAATAAGAAAAATTATATTATATTTTTACCGATCGAGAGAGAGAGAGAGAGAGAGAGAGAAAGTTCAATTTTTTAAATTAATTTTTGTAATATTCCATTTTTTAAATTTAATTTAGTTAATTTAGACAAAAGCTAAAGTTGCTCTCCAAAATTGATGAAAGATATCTTAACGTGAATTAAGATGAATTTAATTAAGATCGATAAATAAAGAAAATATTGTTTCTGCTTATGCAAATAATTTCTATATGAAAATAAGATAAAAACAAAGAAAATGAGACGATAAAAAAGACGATGGTTGAAAGGGTGTCATGTATAACGTTTAATGAGTTTTACAAAGGCTTGACATTAGAAATAATATTTGTTCAATCACGTAACGTCGTCTATATTCAGGTTGAATGAGAGGTAGAATCGATCGTTACGCAGTTCGTGTCTAATCTATGTGTCGATAAAGGTGAATAAAATAGAAAGACATGGAACACAATATTCTTCTCGAGCGTTAACCTTATTTTTATTTTATCATTTTTCTTTTCTTCTACCAAGAAAATATAGTTTCTTGATCGAGTAGATCGTGATTCTTCGGTAAATATTTTCGTTCGCGACTGTAGCTAAGGGAAAACACGAGGGGATGATAAAAATCAATTCTATGTTTTTTAGTTTCTTTATTTTCTTTTCTATTCTTTTCTTTTCTTTTCTTTTCCTTTATTTAACAAAATTTTTATACAGGATTGTGTATTTTAATCGAGAACTGCAATTTCATTTTTCCTCAGCCAGTGTCTCTTTTCTCTCTAATCCTGTAATTTCTACAGCTTATTTTAATCAGCCATTTTTTAATCAGCTTCCAAAACCTATCTTATTTTTTTCTTTTATATTTTGTTAAAATTCAGCTTAAATATATTTGAACGTTGTTCCCCTGTACACAAAATATTACTCGTACGAGTTTATCCGCGGGGATGCATATACATGTATCACAAAATGTAAAAGAAAAAAAAAAGGAAAAAAAAGAGAGAAATACATAATAAGATAAATTTTAATTGGAAATGATAATGAAAGAGACTTTCGTTTTGCAATTTCTTCGTTTTTTTTTCTCTCTTTATTTTTCTACTTCTTTTTTTTTTTTAACGAGGACACTGCTAATTCTTTTCTCTTGTTTCCTTTCAGAAAGTGATAGCTCATAAAGAGGAAAAGCGAGAAGAATCCTAACTCAGAGAAGGAGAGGAAGAAGAAGAAGAAGAAGAAGAAGAAGAAGTTACGTTAGCATAAAATAATTGCGTAATGCCGCCTTGATGATTAACAAGGAGCCTTTTGTTTATCATTTTATTTTTATCTTTGCATAAGAAAAACGATGAATTAAGATTTAGCAAGTATCGTTCGATATTTGTCAAAAAAAAAGGAAGGAGAGCGAGAGAGGAGAGAACGATTTGAAAGAGTCTTCTTGAAAGTGCTTCGGAAAAATCAGGACGACGGGAAGATTCATCGATTATCTACAAAATGGATGCGATTTAAGGCCAAGAGTAGAGAGATCGAGCCAAAGAAAGGAAGAAAGAAGGAGAAGGAACAAAAATTTACTAGTAGAAAGGGGAAAGGGACTAGAAGTTGAATGAAGAATCGTGAAAATCTAGTACAATACACCATCATTACGTCGTAAAAGAGAAAGAGAGAGGGAGATAGAGAAAAGATAGAGAGATATGGTCGATAGGTCGATCTATAGTTCTGCTAGAATGAGTCGATTTCAAGAGTAAAGAGTGGAGAACGTTGATTCCTAAAGACTTGTGGTGTGGTAGTAGTAGTGGTGGGGGTGGGGGTGGTGGTGATAATAATAATAGCGGATGGTGATTTGTTAGAAAAGAATTTTTGTCAAAAAGTAGTCTAAGACGAGTAATATAATAAGAAGTAAAAAATGACGGGTAGTAGACAGAGCGAATTTGGTAATGGAGTAGCTGTGCAAGGAGATGGTAGAAAACATACGGTTCATTGGTTTAGAAGAGGACTGAGATTGCATGACAATCCGTCCCTCAGAGAAGGACTAGCCGGTGCTTCTACTTTCCGGTGTGTCTTTATATTGGACCCCTGGTTTGCCGGAAGCACTAACGTTGGTATTAATAAATGGAGGTAAATTTATTGTATATAAAATAAAAATATTGTTGTTATTTTCTTTTACGTTGATATTTTTGTTAAGATTTAGATAATAATTATATAATTTTAACAGAAATTCCTATTAAACTTATGATTTCTTTTTTTTTCTTCCTTTTTACGTTTTTATCAGATTTCTCTTGCAATGTCTCGAGGATCTCGACTGTTCCCTAAGGAAATTGAATTCCCGTTTGTTCGTAATACGAGGGCAACCAGCGGATGCCTTACCAAAGCTTTTTAAAGAATGGGGAACGACGAATTTTACCTTCGAGGAGGATCCAGAACCATTTGGACGCGTACGAGATCACAAAATTTCTACACTTTGTAAGGAGCTTGGTATCTCGGTGGTCCAGAGGGTCTCACACACTCTTTACAAGTTGGACGAGTGAGTCCAGAACGCCTCTTTGACCGAAACATTTGATATAAAGCTTAACTCCCCTAAGTAGGATTTTATTATAATAAAAAATACAATCCTTATAAGAATATATATGATGATCGATTTAAATCTAAATGAAGATATAGATTTACCAGTACTTATAGTTATCATCCTGTCCTATCGGAAAAGTTCTTTTTAAGACATTTTTTTGAGCGATACAATTCATTCTGGCTTACACTGCCTACATTTACAGTCTCCTCCTTTTTTTCTTTTCTTTTCTTTTTTGACATTGTGAAAGTATAGCAAGTATAGGTAGTCCCAATTGGGGATAATTCTTTAAATGATTTTCACATTTTACAGGATTATAGAAAGAAATGGAGGCAAACCACCCCTGACCTATCATCAATTTCAAAATGTCGTAGCTAGTATGGATTCTCCAGAGAAGCCTGTATCTACAGTAACTTCAGCCTGCATTGGCGATGCCTATACTCCTTTGAAGGACGATCACGATGATCATTTTGGTATACCAACGTTAGAGGAACTCGGTACGATCAAACAGCGACAAATTTCATTAACATTTAAATCTATTTGAAAAGAATACAATTTCGGGGAAAAATAATGCTTATTTGATTAGAATGAGGGAATAATGATTTAAATAATTTCCAACATTTATAATCGAATCTACGAATAATACCGAGCTCTATATATTCAATATTTATATAGATAGTATTATATGTAGGAAGTCAAAAATACTCATACACATACGCAAGTACACACATGGGAATGAGACGAACATGAGTACAATTGGCCACGTGCATGGAACCGTAAAATATAGGCTGCACTCTCATTCGTTTTCTTTTCTCTCTCTCTCTCTCTCTCTCTTTCTCTTTCTCTTTCAACCCTTTCCTTTTTGTTTTTTTTTCTCCTCTTTTTTTTAACTCTATTTTTCGCAAAGGCCGTGTCACAAAACAAACAAGAAAATATTCAACACGTGCCAACTTTTCGCTCTTAATACGACCTACTTTATATGTTCTCGCGCGTTTTTTTTCTTTTACGCGCTTTTAAAACAGTTCTCTTTTAACTTATTGGGTCTGGCCCCGAGTTTCCTCATCTACACTTTAAACGCACACATGCATACGAAACTCTACACAGGAGCTTTTCTCTTTCTCTCTCTCTCTCTCTCTTCTTTCTCCTCTTCTTTCTTTCTTTCTTTCTTTTTGTCCTAACAAGAGCTTTAACATTCGAACTAATCTTTGTATTTAGATATGTAGATATATGTTTTTATCTTTCTCTTTCTCTCTTTCTTCCCTCTCTCTTTCCTTTTCTTTCTTTCTCTCTCATCTCCTTCTTCCTTTCGTTTATTCGAGATTTATGTAGTGAAAAAGTAAGAAATCATTGCTTACGATCACGTTACAATCTAACATCGAATACTTCTTCGCATTCCTAATAAGATTTCCTATTTATGGCCGACCTTAATCCGTAATCTCCGTGGGATATAACATACATATACGTGACGTCAGCCTTTGACAGAAAAGCGATATTACGGAGAAAGTCTTAACGTATACATAGATATTTCTACTGTATATATATACATAGATCTACAGGGAACATACATTCATTCATACATATACATGGATACGTATCGAAACATGGGGACATAGTAGAATGCGAAGCTTTTCGTGCAAATTCGAGCACCGAGAAATTTCCTTTTAAATATTCCCATTGTCTCCAAAGCATATATTTAATATTTGTCTATACATATATATATGTATATACGAATGATATAAGACAATAGAGGCCATGATCTTAATGTTATCATTCATACAAATTGCAGCAATGCTTTTAATCTCTTTCTCATTTCCATCTTGTTTACGACTACTTTAACATATTACTCAGTAATCCCTATAATCGGTTTAAACTTTTTCTAAACTATATATATATTGTTTAATAAGTACACGTTTAGAAGAAAATGAAATTAAGTTGAAATTCACAAAAATATCCTAATACCAATAACAATTTAACAAGAAAGAAATAGACAAATTTTATCCTTTCTTTTCTTTTTCTTTTTGTATTCATTATTTTCTATGCAAAGTTTCAAGTAGGAAATCATTGAAAATTGAAAGAGAAGTCGTTTGGGAAGCAAACGAAACGACTTCTTTCTTCGAGACGTACCGATAGGACTTTTGAAAGTAAGTGAAGGAGAGATAGAGATTGTATGTGAAAGAGAGAGCAAGTGAGAGAAAGAGAGAGAAAAAGAAAGATAAAAAGAGACCTAGTTTGTTTCTTAACAGGCTTCGACACAGAAGGGCTTCTACCGCCTGTATGGGTCGGTGGTGAGAGTGAGGCCTTGGCACGATTGGAACGTCATCTCGAGAGGAAGGCCTGGGTGGCGAGTTTCGGCAGGCCGAAGATGACACCGCAATCACTACTGCCGAGTCAGACAGGCCTATCTCCTTATTTACGCTTTGGCTGTCTCAGCACCAGACTTTTCTACTATCAACTTACCGATTTGTACAAAAAGGTATATACACATAAGACGATGTGTTATATATACGTGTAACATATGTTTTCTATTTATATATAGTTGGTCTCAGGAGTATTCAACCGTACTAATTAATTTAAAATAATTTATATTTGCTTATAATGCACAGAGCTTTCCAAATTTTATAATCCTTAAAAAATGTTTCTCGTTAAATCAATTCGATTTCATTTGGTTATAAGAATTTTATTCGAGAAAATTGTCGATTAATAAATAATTTATTATAGGACAAATTTTCATTATATTGATTGATTATTTTTAATGATCGTAGATTAAGAAAGCAGTACCACCTCTCTCCTTGCATGGTCAACTTTTATGGCGCGAATTTTTTTATTGCGCAGCCACAAAGAATTCTAATTTTGATCGGATGCAAGGTAATCCGATTTGTGTCCAGATACCGTGGGATAAGAACGTCGAAGCTTTGGCAAAGTGGGCGAATGTGAGTATACTCTTTGTTTATTTTATTTATTATATTTAAAGATTTGTTTTATCTTCATTGATAAAGAAGTAATTCTTAATAATGATCGGGTGTGTAACATTTGCCATTTATTATGGCATTTTTTTTCATTTTTTTATTATATATACGTTGACATAATTTTATTTATTTATTTATTTATTTATATTTTTTAAATATTTATTCAATTAGGGTCAAACGGGTTTTCCATGGATCGATGCGATTATGACTCAGCTAAGAGAAGAAGGTTGGATACATCACTTGGCGAGACACGCGGTTGCTTGCTTTTTGACCAGAGGTGACCTTTGGATATCTTGGGAAGAGGGAATGAAGGTAAAATGTCGCTGCATTGGCATTTTCCATTATTGAGCTCTCGTAATAAAATATGCGCTAACATTCAAACGTTTTGCTGATAACATCCTTCTCCCATTGTATACAATAATGCGTGTCTAAAGGACTCGTTAACATTTCACGTAGATGAACGCTTAAATCTTGATAGGAACGAGAATATACATTTTCTCTTTTACGTGTTTTATATAAATCAAGGAACAAGAGGTTTCGCGAAGAAAATAAATGTTTATTTATTTATTTATTTAATTCTTTTTTTGTTTGTTCGTTTATTTTCTTACTCCCATTTCTTTCAATTCATACACAACGTGTTTGAAAAAATGAAGAACTTTCGCAAAGATTTCTTATGTTTATTTCTTTTTCCGAAGGTAAGGTATATGTAAGGTTTTTTTTTTCTTTCAAAGGTCTTCGATGAACTTTTATTAGATGCTGATTGGTCGGTGAATGCCGGTATGTGGATGTGGTTGTCATGCAGCTCCTTTTTCCAGCAGTTCTTTCATTGCTACTGTCCGATACGATTCGGTAGAAAAGCCGATCCAAACGGTGATTACATTCGGTAAGCAATCATTTCGTTGAGAACAACAACAAAAACAATAAACTGAGATTAAATCAGTGATAAATTTGACATTTTTCTCTACGATATACGTTATATATAAAAGAAAATAAAAAACAATATTTTGGTTTCAAATTTTTACCTGGGATATCTGTAAACCAAAAAATTACTAATAATTCATATATAATATTATCGATACTTAACGATTATCGTAGATTGAGAAAAAAAAATTGAAAATTCAAAATGTAAATTTTAAGGTCTCGTCATTTTATTATGTAATAATTTACCTCCTTTAACTTATTTCCCATAATTTTTGTTTTTACTATATTACCTCTCTGTTACACGAAACTTCGGGCCACTTCGATCAACGATATATCTCAGACGTTACCTGCCAATATTGAAAAATTTTCCTACAAGATATATCCACGAACCGTGGAACGCGCCAATTAGTATACAACGAGCAGCAAAGTGCATAATTGGCAAGGATTATTCCCTACCTATGGTGAATCATAGCAAGAGTTCGCGAATCAACTTTGAACGAATGAAGCAGGTTTATCAGCAGCTTAACAAATATCGTGGGAACGGTGAGTGTGATAAAGGTTGATGACCTCTCCTCTAATTCTTCTCTATGGTAGCGGAAATCAATTTGCGAGCTTTTCTTCTTCTTCTTCTTCTTCTTTTTCTTCTTTTTCTTCTTTCTTTTTTTTCCAACTGAGAAGAATGAAAGAAGAAAATAGAAAGCAATTGAACAAAATAACAAGAAAACAAAAGAGAAAAGAAAAAAGAAAAGAACTAATCTCGTTTTGTTTTTCTTTCTTTCCTTCTGTTTACACAGGAACTTCATTCAAAAGTGAATCAGTTGGTGAGTTATAATATTCTTTCAATTTCTCCTTAAATCTTTTACATTTATTTATAAAAACAGAAGGACATTCTTATTTATAAGTTGTCAATTTGATTTATGTTAATTCGTTTTAAAGGTTTACTAAACGCATTATTGCCGTCTAATATGAAAGTCAAGGAAGAGGAAGACAAAACAAATCGTCCATTGACGAATCTTAACAAGGAGGACAAAACAAATCGTCCATTGACGAATCTTAACAAGGAGGACCGAAAATTGGATGCTAATGATGCTAATATTGCACAACAATAACGATCATAGTACCGATCGAAATGATATTTCTTTTAAGAAGATATCGTTAACTTTTTTTTATTTTATTAAATTATCATCGTCGCGACCAATGCGAAAAATTCATTATTTTTCATTTTCCAATGTTGACGTCGTCATCTTTCCTCTCTCTCTCTCTCTCTCTCTCTCTCTTTCTTTCTTATCTTTCCTTTTATTTTATTTTGCGTCTTAGACATACCTTCGCCATTAAAATTGTCCTTCGACGAAGGAAGAGACATTTTTCATCAATCAAGTCGTTAATTTAATTATTATTACAAGGATCGTCATTTCTGATACGCGTTCATATTAATTTCACCATGAAAGACAGAGAGAGAAGAAGAAGTCATGAAATAAGGTACAAAATAGAATAGAATTTATCGCATTAAGAGATAAACATTTAATAAAATGATGTTCGCGTTAATTGAAGACGAAATATATATTTGTTATTTCGATATGCACGCACATATATTTATGTGGTGTATATGTGTACGAGATTATCATGTTAAAATAAAATATACACACATATATATGTATATTTACACATATACAGTAGAACCTCTAGTATTCGACAAATTAGTATTCCAATGTTCTACTATTTGCATGCTTCACTATCGCAACATTCTATTAACCGAATATTTTTCTGCTTTTGTTATCTACTATCAAAACAAATAGTCGAAACGTAGTACATTCTTTGTACAATATTATATCTTCTATATTTATTTATATTACATTTATTACTATTTATATTACAAACATTTTCTTATATTTTCTTCTTATTGTATCATGTTTTCCAATTGTTATTATATCATTTTTTCTAAATACAAGCTCACAATCATGATAAGAATGAATGTTTTAACTATACGAAAATTCTTTCATCCGAATAGCTATGTTTTCCTATTAATTCGGATATAGTGGAGGTTCTATTGTATACATATATAAATATAGATATATGTTTGGGTTGAGTACAAAGTTTCTTTGTATTTTCCCGGTTGATGGTTTTAAGATCGCATAACTCTGCTAATATTAATCGAATTTGGCAGTACTTGTGCGAGTTTGAAAGATGACATATTATGGAGTAATTAAAACAAAATAGTTGTGATATTTGTTCATTCAGTAAAACAGTTATTGCGTCGTGATAATGAATGCGATAATAAAAAAAAAAAAATTTGATACATTTTGAAAAGTTATTATAAAAAAGAGAAGAATGAAACTCTCAGACAAGTAAAAATAAACTGTGATGCTTATATATAGTGTCCAGTACATATAGTACAAAGTTAATTTAACTGTTTTTAATCTGGAAACTTTTGTGTCTAATTGTAAGATGCATCTTGTTTTGGTCGATCAATCACTGAGAAAGTCGACGAAGTTCTGTGAAAGATTGAGCAAAATTGTCAAATATAATAGTTACGATATCGTTAAAGAACTGAGTATCAGAAACAAAACAGTTTAAAAACGTTTGAAGATAGCTGGATACAAAATATAATAAAAATTTATTTTTTACTTTGGTATTCAAATACAAACGAAACTTTTTATTCAACCCAATATATTACGATGGCCCTCACGTTATCGATATATAATTAAGAATTTTCATATCGATCGCATACTAAGCTTCTTATGATTCTTATCAATGAATTTTAAGAAATACTTTTTTTTTTTTACATATATAATGTGTCATTATATGTATTCCATTTTATACATATATGTATGTTATATACACATATGTATTATGTATATGTATATAATGATTATTCCTTGTACAGAGTCGATTTTATGACATAAAAAGAATTTTCATATAAATGACCTATCATGTTAACATTACAAATGAACTATTCACTTACCTTTTTCCGTATCTCTTTTTAATGTTTCCAGCTTCCAAACGAACACATGGCGATGTTTTAATCGAAACGAATAATAATAAGACAATACGACTAATAGTAGTCGTCGATCATAGATCATAAATCATAATTGAATCATTAAAACTCGGTCGATATTTCAAATTTTCTTTCATTCATTTGATCGATAATATTTATACATGTACATTCTGTTTTATCAATTATTTTTTAATTTCTTATTGATTATTCATTGTTATTATTATTATTATTATTATTATTTTTTTAGCTATAAAAAAATTCATTAAAACAGAATGTACGTATGAAATCGAGATTACCAAGATATTCTTCGGAATTCTTTCAACTTGTGAAATAAAAGAAAGGAAGAAATCTTGTTTTTTTTCTTCTTTTTTTTTTTTGGTGTTTCATCGACCTAAGAAAACAAATTGCGATTTTGAATTTGATCATCGATTCAAGATCTCCGGTATGAGTAATCGTTCAACGTGAATAACTTTCTCTTTCTCTTTCTTTTTTTTTCTTTTGCTACAAAAAGTCGATAATAGATTAACTTTATATTATATGTCGCGATTGGAACATACGAATTCGTTGTTCCGCATCATGTTCATTTAAATCGTCTTGATGGCAATTAATTGACGTTCTCTCACTCTCTTTCTCTCTCTCTCTCTCACACACACACACACGCACGCACGCACACACACAGTCAAACTCTCAATCTCTCTTTATCTCTTGACTTGTCGCAATTTCGAAAGAGAGAAAGGTGGACGGTTGTGGTGTTGTGCGAAAACTGTGCATCCCCTTTACTGTGCGTGATTGATGATGTCAATAAAACGCATTTTTTTTTCTTTTTTTCTTCGTCTCTCTTTCTTCCTTTCTCTCTTTTTCTTCTTCTTTCTTTTATAACTTCATCGATGAGCATGCAATTTAAAAGATTTGTTTTCGCACGACACCATTCATGTCTTTCAATGATAATACGAGCTTTGCGTTACAGTTTACACTTCTGATCAAAAGTTACGAACACCCTTTAAGTGAGATGAAAAATAATCTTTTTCTTTGAAATAAACTCAAATTTAAGTTCATGCATTTTGATGTCAATTTTATGGATTAGTTTATGCACGTATGTTCGTACGCGTATGAGTTTATGAAATATATTATTATTAATATTGATAGAAATGATCGAAAGGTACATCATTGTATTGATAATCGAAATTGGGGGTTGATTATATAATATTTCAATTCATTAGAGAGTAATCAATTTTTGATCGTGAACGTGTATTAGTACGCTTTACACGATCCTATCTCTTTCTCTCTCTTTCATTCTCTCACTCTTTCACCCTCCCTCTCACTCTCACTCTCTCTCTCTCTCTCTCTCTTTCGTGATGCGCTCGAACTGAACTTACACGACGATGGTTTTGTTCTTTATTTTTTTTTTTCATGTCAACAAATAATATATTTTTAGTGCCTATAGTACTTATAGTTTTACAGTAAATTTTTCATTAGTTTTTTAAACAATTACAAATGAACATCCTTAGCACTCAGAAACAGGACTAATGTGTTTTTTTTTGTATCTCTCGCACGGTTATTTTTTGTTCTCTCTCTCTCTCTCCCTCTCTCTCTTTCTCTCTTGTACACACATACAAAACGCGCGCGAGCATATACGCATTTTCTCTCTTTCTCTTTCTTTCTCTCTCTTTTTCATTAATCGTATTTCACATATGCACAAATTTCTGTCGTTCTCTCGATGAATTTTTATTGAGGACAGATATACGGACAGCCTACATACATGTACACACATACATACATACATACACACACGGACGCATATTTTCTCTCTCTCTTTCTCTCTTTCACACACTCTCTCACTTTCTTTCTTTTTTTCTCGATCATCATGTGCGTTTTTACGTGCCATACGTGTGTTTCTCTCGCGATATACAGAATTCACGAACTCTTCCGCTCTCGTCGTAATATGAATATGTATTGTATTGTATATAATCTGTAGAGTATCGATAATAATCGAGTCGAGGGATGATGGGACAGAGGGAAGAGAAGCGACAATCAAAAATAATACTTTTTCTTTAATCGTTAAAGAGAGACAATGTTAATCGCGAATATTATTCGCGTATTTGATTTTTAATTGAAATCGCATATGATAGTGTACGTGTACGTATACATATACACATGTATATATATTTGTCATGTGTATGTATGTATTCATGGTAGGAAAAGCTCACGAATGTATTATGATTTTGGTAAAAAAAAAAAAAATAATAATTTCATTCGCGTTTGGTGTGTTTCGTTTCACGGTGATAGGGGTGGGATGAAGGGGGCAACTGTTTTTCAATTAAAATTCGTGGGGATATGTTAGCGACGTATTATTATTTTCGTGTGAAAATATTCTCTGACATTTCGAATTAGAAGAAAAAGAAGAAGAAGAAAAGAAGAGGAGAACGAGAAAGCGACGAACGAATCTAATTTTGTTTTTGTGCTTATTAATGATACGCATTCTTTTCAACTATCACGCATACTCGTGATTATTTTTTGTCTTTCTCTTTCTCTGTTGCAATCCCTTCCCCCTCTTTCTCTCTCTCTCTCTTTTTCTATCTCTTCATTTATCTATCTGTTTGTCTCTCTCTTTTTTAATTAATTTCCTTAATGGAATAAACCCTGGAGAGTGTGCAAACGCGTAAACTTTGGTAGAAAATTGTCAAAGAGTTTGCTTTCTTGATTCGTTCTCGTTTTCTTTCTCTCTTTCTGTCTTTCTTTCTCTTTCTCTTTCTGTCGTCATATTTTCTTTTTTTCTTTTTTAATGATTTAAAAGAATTGAAAATTAGAAAAGAAAAAGAAAGAGGTTCGTCTCTAGATAGATAAGAATAACTATGACGATTAAGTTCCTCTTTTCTCGGTTCGTCCTTTTGCATGTCAAGGAGTGAAAAAAAAGGAAAAGTAAAAAGAAAAGTGTTCTTTTATCTATTGGCAATACTCCTCTTTTCAGATTTTCTCACTTTTTCGCAAAAAAGGAAATATTGTAACTCGTCTTTTTCTTTATTTCTCCATATTGAGCAACCAGAACGAGCGCTCGTTTGAAATTTTCATTGGTCAACAATCATCACTTCTCCTTTTTTTTTTAGTTCTTTACATTGACCAATGGGACCAGTTTAACTCGTTGTATGTTCCCATCGGGTCATATCGCGAGAGAATAAACTACAGATCTTTTTCCACGTTTTTCCAAAG